GTAGGTATAAGCCCTTTTTTTTTGCATTCTATGCGATTGCATAAATGTTTTTATATCACAGAAACAACTTTGAATATACGTGAATTCTGGTTGTCTGGGATCACTTCAAATAATCAAAAACGTTTCTTCTTACATGGCGTTTTTCCAACTATCAACTCTATGATGCATCTGGTTGTTACGCCTTGCACCAGAACTACGAATTATATTGTTTTAATATGCCAAACGTACTGATTCTGTAGTATCTAGTCACGCCCGATTCATTTGAAATGCATCCGATTGATATTTTGCGTGGAAACAACGTACAAAAAGAAGACCAAAACAATCTCCGGGTGTAATTCCACTCTCACAAAATTTGCGAACGAAGAACCAAGGCGGAACAACAAATAGTCCCGAGGGTGTACTTCCACGGCGTATCACCAGTGTTGGCAGTTCAAAGGGTTGAAGATCCGGGGGGTAACAACATGTAAGAAATTATCAGGGCGTATGATGTTTTCTTCTCAATTTCACGACAAAGAAAACTTTTTTTTTGAATTTTTAGTGATGATAAATTACACTATTAACTATAGGCCAAGCTTTTGAAATCACCCAGAAAATGGAAAGTCGTGAAATAGGATTAATTTGTAGGTCATCAAAATTCGGAAGCGATTTTCTCCATATGATAACTTTGGAATTACGCATTTTTCAAATGTTAGTCTAGAAATGCGCTGATTTTGTGTCCATTTCCACTGTGTGGGCGCTGATGGGCTCCATCAAGAGGAAAGTTCGAGATTTCGTGCGAACTGGATAATGGTAACCATCTTATGCTGTAACTTTGAAGTTTTAATAAAAGTACTGTAGAGCAACCAATTATGGACTTTTGAAACTTATTGAATCACGAATTACAGGTCTTTTTTTTCTTACCAATTTATTTTTAGTCAGCCTTTACTACGTATTACAGGCATATTCTCATTTTCGTTTGAACCGTTGTTCCGTATTTTTTTTATTAAAAATACGTATCGAGCGAAAACAAGAATATGGGTGATAACCTTCAACTTAACATAGGTAAATTCAAATCTCTTTCCCTTTGCCTAAATTACCACCCACATTCGTCACGAAAATAAATCATCATTTTCGTTAGTTTCTGGTTAATTGTTGTACGTTTTATGGATCATTTGCAAAATGTACATTGTAATTGGTACAATTTCAATGCTCATTCTTTAGAAATTTAGCGGTACATTTTTACAATTGTGTTGCTGAATTTTACATAAAATGTAGATCACAGTGAAATTTTTAATGGATCATTCTCACTTGTTTAGGGATTTTTACCGGGGTTTTATGGATCACTTGGATGTTTTTAAAGGAGCGTTTATATTTTTATGGGTCATTTATTAATTTATATATACAAAAAAAAGTTTGCCGTTGAGTTTACCCTGACAAATCAAAAATAGTAAAAGCAAAATTTAGTATCTGTCTTAATCTACTTAAGTTCATAAGTTTCGTTTTTAATACAAAAATAATTGTTGTTTTATATTTAATCAAAATGCCTTGTTACTTCATAAGTGAAGTTTAAGGTTTTCAGAGTTGGGAGCAAATGCTATACTAATAACAGCATTAAAATTTAGTGCGAAAATTTGCGCACTCTTTTGCCTATAAATTTGAGGAAATACCTTGAATCCCCTCATCCATCTTAAGAGCTAGGCAAAGAAGTGTGCATTTGATTAGTTTTTCCTCGATTTGTTTTTCGTCGATCTTGTTTTCCATACTGAGTACCAATGCACACTGGGGCAGATACCGAAATTAGCAAGACAAAACCTCTAGCGCATTGGGTTTGCATTATATTGAATTGGTGTCTTTGGCAAAGTTTCTCGGTTTAACATGCACGTTCGTCTGGTCATGGAAATTAGTTCCAATTTCATCCGCATAGATGGTGCTGCGATACTAACTTTCTTATTTCGCACGATATAGGTTTGCTGTCTTGGGCAAAGTTCTAGAACATAAAATAATATATAAAAATGCCCAAGAACTCAAAGTTCTAGGTCTTCAAATAACAAAGATATAGTGAATATTGTAAAATTGACCTGAAATTTACGTTTTTGTACTATTTTCCATACAAACGAGAAATCCTTCATTTTTAACGCCGTGTATCTTTTAAGTCAAATAAGTTGCAAGTTTTTAGGAAGATTTACCAATATTTTGGGTCGATACAAGCGAAATATTAGCCAAAATAGTGAAAATTACCATGATTATCATGATCCGGTTTCTCGAAAAGTAGCAAGTATTAGCAAAAAGTCGTTTACTTTCTGAAATGTACCATTTATTATCAATCAAAGGTTGAAGTCTGCCGGACATATAATTTTATATATTTGAGATATCTGAATTCATAGACTACAATGTTTATTCAATTAGCGTTCGCCAAAGCACGGCTTGCTGGCTGCGTGCGATGGAAACGATGGAATATGTCTCTTATGCTTCGCTAGCTGCACGTTGGCTAACGCTCTACTAATGTATGCACAAAGCTTATTCTTGTATATTCTCGAACATGTGCCAAAAACCATAGAAATTTGTTATCTAGATAAAAATAATTTGCCCGGAATAGATTAGACACGAACCAACTCATACATTTTTTTCCGTGTTCGTGGCTAGGATACACAATTTTCGCGAACACGGTGCTGCCATACTCTAACGGAACTATCAATCCATGTAAATTGATTGATGAGCATTTTAGTAGAATAATTGTATACCTTATTACGATGTTTTTCCTTTTAATTCTACTACTTTTGTACCACTTTCACTTTCACTAATTCACTTTCACTATTTACTTTCCCTATCACTTAAAAAAAAAAAACTATAGCATAAACGTATTTCGTTTACTACTTTCAAACTACTTCAGTGTCTAGCCATAGATCTAATGACAAACACCATACCTGAAAACACAACATACATATATGCACACTACCTATACACGTTTATAAGAAGCAGAAGTAATGCTTTTTCTTCAAGTCTATGACCAGACACTGAAGAAATTTGCAAGTAGTAAACGAAATACGTATCTGTTATAGTTTTTTTTTAAAGTGATAGTGAAAGTGCAATAGTGAAAGTGCAATAGTAAAAGTGCAATAGTGAAAGTAAAAGTGATTCTGTCTACCAAAGTAATTCCAATTAAAATTTTAAACACTCCATATTCCGAAGCATGGAAATAGCATTGGAGAAAGCGCAGGTCTGATAATCACAACGTTCCTCGTTCGACTTCTGTCGGCAATCTTTTTGGGTTTTTTTTTTCGACATTATTCATGTCACTCACTAAATCTCGCTAATAATACACTCCAATAAAAATACACTAGGGTAAACGCTCCTATAGTTGCGGTACGTTAGAAGCGTTAGGTTCCTATAGTTGTGTATGGAGACTCCGTACACAACTATAGGAGCCTAACGCTACTAACGTACCGCAACTATAGGAGCGTTTCCCCTAATACTTTCTCCATTTTTTGGCATTGGACCGCAGCAGCCTCCGTTCATGCGGTCTCCTGTAACAACCTGCGATTATGAATCCCTCATTATTGTATGTAAGCAAATCTTGCATCCCCTGTTGGGTGTAGTTGAATGATTATCGAACTAAAGCTTCATGTTGATATTAGTATAGCATTTCCTCTCAACTCCAAATTTCGGTTTTGTAAATGTGAACTAGAATAATGGGTGAAATTTAAGAACATTGTATAGGCTTAGTTTCAAAAATATTTTAAAATGAATGGTGATTGAAGAGGTCTTTTTACTAAATTGTGAAAACGGTTAGTATCAATTTTTATGGCAAACAAGCATTATTGACGGGGTGACACCCAAATAGCTCGCCCAGGAGTCACTCAGTATTACTACGCCGCTATATCTCTTTAAGGGTCAACGAATATTAAACAACTTAATCCCACTCTGCTACGTTGAATTAAAATTCAATATAAACTAACCATATTCTTCACCGAATAAACAAAAATTCGTTTGAGTGTTATAAATTCTATGCAATTTGCTTAAGCTTCCCGCTTCTGATCATTCCGACCAAGAATGAATGTGCACGATGAAATGTGGACACAGCGCTGCACTTGAGCGCGTGTTACGTTTGCTCGCTTTGCACTGCACAAGGAGAACTTTTGTTATAATAGGAATAGCTCCTCCATAGCTTATTGCCGGTCTATTTAGTCTTGCGCATTTTATATTCCGCATGGCTTTTTGGGCCCGGGTAAATATCTGCCAAAAGTTCGAGAGGCCATTCGGTGGAAAGCAAACTTTGTTTCTATTTTCCTTCGGTGCGGTGTCCAATTCGAGTGAAGATGGTTCGTTTTCCCTCTCTTGTTTCGGCGAAAATGTTTGCATTATGATTATGATCAGCTCATAACGTTAATTATCTTCATTATTAGGAAACTTTCCGTTTGCTCGGTATTTTGGCATTAACATAAGAGCACTTTTCGTTTTGCTTTCTTATTGTTTTGTAAGCGTGTGGGATTAGCCAGAACGCCACTAAGGTGGCGCAAATCTCGGAATGCGGATGGTATCAATTGTGACCACTCCAAAGCCATTCGTAAATATTTTATCAGTTAACAAGAAAATCTGGCCCGTACAGGTAGGCCTTATTCATTCGTCACAATTAAATATTTAGACAGCCGGATTTGGGCTGCAGGTGGCTAGGGGATGCACGCAATTCGGACAACCGACGGTCATACAGATACAGTGCATGGGAAAATTACCCGTAAAGCTGCACACTTGAAATGAAAAGATTTCAGAAATGTTGGCTGCTGGTTGATCAAATATTCAAGATTTATCGGTATAGAGTTTTGGACTTGATTGGCTCGCTGAGAAAGAAGTTTGGGCAATTTTAGTAAAATTAGTGTACTACCGTGTTTCGGAAACGTGTACGGGCAATTTTTGGATACACTGTAAAGTCAAACGATAACAAACGAAAGGGTAGGCCCGAAGAGGGAATTTATCCATTCGTCCGCCTGCCTGCCGGGTGTGTGATTAATGACGGGTTTACTCACCTCGACTGTTGAACGCAATCCAGGTGGACCGAGTTTTCCTGTGAGCTTTGCGGTTCGTTTCTGGTCGCCGACCAGGAGGGGTTTGGTGCGTGGGAGGCAGTGATATGGGTTGGAAGAACGACTGCCCGGACCGGAAATCAGTCAGTCAGTCAGTCAACCAGATGGACAGCCAGATAGTCAGTCGAGTCGGTCCCTCCGGCAGATAATTTTCCTCCAAACAGATTGTTTCGGGCGGAATGCGGTAGCAGGGTGAATCTGGAAAATTGAAAAAGTAACAAAACTGATGGATGATTGTTGGAATTTCGAGGGTGTTGGGTCAAGATTGGAAGAGTCAGAAATGGTAAGAGTAATTGTGTTTGGATAGTGATTTGATTTATGCCATGGTATCATGTCTGGACAGAGGGTATAGTGTATATTTATTAAATTTACTGTACGTTTTAAAGACGGTAGGTTTCCCATTACATATTAAGTAGACTTTGGAAGTTTTATCTGTTGTAATATGCATAAGAATTTGGTAGCTTCTTCGGTGTATGCGGAACGTGAACAAGTACATGCTGGTAAACAGCTAACACGTACCTACAATTGATAATACGCTAATCTGCAGGTATGAAATAAGTGTTCCTTATGCTCTTACCGAATAGCTACGATCCGATGCGGTGCCAGCTGTGGTACGAGTGAACATAGAAAAGATCGGGAAACTATACCTAAACCTATCTTGGCGAGACCTTGGTCGTAGGCTGATGGGGGCCTCCCCTTTTCGGAGGGTTTGATTTATACAATCGGAGCATCTGTTCTCCATGTTAGGGGTTTGGCTGATCATCGGTCCGGATAAAGCCTACCAGAAAATGATATGTTGCAAATAACATAGAAGTAGGCGACTTCAAGGATTTCAAGTGACAATCAAATCAGCCACTGTCAGTGCTGCAAAATCGATGATATTGACAATTCTGCTTTTGTCACCCATTTGAGCTAACAGTCAAGGCAAACCATGTCAATTGTCAATGACAATGCTGTCAGTGACGAAAAAGTCATGGAGCCGTTAATGTGAACAAGCAGCTACGTCCTGAACTGCTTGGATAACCTTAATGTGACACAGAATGTACGATATTACACTTTTTGTTATCAGGTGAATCTTTGTCATTGACGAAAAAATTAATGAGATTTTGATGATCAACACTGTCATTGACTATGTGAAAAACAATTTTGTCAATATCGCGTGAAAGTCTGTCAATGACATTGACAAATCTCAGCACTGGCCACAGTGTCTTTAAAAATCAAATTTTAATTATTATTTTTTTCAAGTCATTACTTGAACATTGAGCACTGAAGATACTTCTTTAGTCCATAAAATGAATACCAGTTAATGAATTTTAATCACAATTATTTTATTGGACGATTACGTCGTGCCCTGTGCAAAAAAAATGGTTAATTTAGGAAGAGATTTAAAATGAATGGTATGGAAACGTTTAGTTGTAATTAAAATCTTTAAATAATTCATAAACAGTATTGTTAGTTAATTAACGTTGTGATTGCTTTTTTTTTTTAAATTAGTAGAATTATGTTCTTTTTGAACCACCCTCCAAGTGAAAATGCACAATTTAAGTGTATTTGGGCACTTTATTAATAATGAATTCAGCTTATAGAAACTATCTGAACCAATCAATTTCAACAATTTATGACATTTTCGAGGTTTTCTCTTTTCAGCAAGCGAGTAATGGCACAATAACCATGAGCCATAAAAGGCTAGGACAAGAGTTAGGGCTCATGTTCCAACCGTCAGAGGAAAATGGAGCAGCACTTAACCTTTCTAGCCTAGATGCTTCCAACGATAAACCAATCATATGATTACCAAAAACGAAACGCACGGTACGAGATATCCACCTTTCATCAATTTATTCGATTCTGGATCAACTTTTTTAAATATTTGATTTAAACAGGCCCGATGTTAGCTGAATCATCTTCCCCCTTAAATATTGCACAGTATAGGCCTGGTCATTATGGTATGTGTGGCGCATCTTCGTTGTGAAGCATATATCAAATAGACAAGATTAATGATGGAGGTATACTCATCATTTACCTCGATGCTTTCAAGAACTAGCTGTAGATTAGATTAGATTAGGAGGCCCACCACTGTGCACAGTGCACAGAGCGGTCCAGGAATGAAGATTACTTAACAATATTGCTGAATAAAGTCAGCATAATGGCTCTTATACAACTATGCGTCCATGTTTTAATTGCATGCTTTGTAAATGCTTTACAAACGGCGTATTCATTCATTACTCCACAACACTGTTTCAGGCTAACAACAAAACAAAATTGGTCGCATAGTGGTTACAGATTCCAACGATTGCCAAGCAGAAGGTCGCGAGTTCAGTCCCAACTTCTACCCTAATTTTTATTTATTTTCTACGACTAATTAATTTAAATCGTAAACATAGATCGTATCACTCACGACAACCATATCATCAATCTATCCAAAAGAATAGCCCAGAAATTAGAGACATGGAGGGGTAACATTGGTCGCATGTAAAACAACTATGAATAAATTAATCATTCTAACATCTCCTTGAATTAGCTAGAGCTACGGCTGGGAGTGTTGATAGGTATTCAGATTCAAGCTTTTATTGCTTATTTAGCTACCCATATGATGTATTCTAGGATAGCTGATGGCAAGGCAAGCGGCTGGTGATCGGAAGGTCATGGTTCGAATCCCATCTAACGACAGTTGTATGTATGTATGTACACGCAGGCAAAGCAACGTAAGAATTCCATAAGAAATTCATATGAATTTTTTAGCCACAAGACATCAGTATGAATTTCATTGATTTGCCTTATGAAAAATAATGTTGACAAAATAATAATAAATCGGAGCAGACTGGAACCGAACCAAAGACGTTGAGTCCGTGTGTTTGGCCACTCGTCTTTCAACGCTTGGGAAGATGAAATGATTAAAAGCGTATAATAGCTACCTCATGTTACTCGAAAATCATTCATAAGTCACACTTATGAAATTCATATATGTTGTTCATAAGTCGAGCCTTATGAAATTCTTAAGTCTATTTGCCTTAGTGTATGAAATAAATTTTCTAGTATCTGTGTGGTGGGTGCTTGCTACGACAGAAATAATAACACAACAATCACTAACGAGAGCAACCCTGCTCTCTGTGCCGTTCTTATTTTCGGACTAATTATCCCGTAGTTGAATAATCGTTTAATAAATGTAATGTAATGTCTAATTAAACATTATTTCACATGACAATTAAGCGTCTAAATACACCTTTATACCATCGCAGTTTAAAGAAGTAATGATGTCGAATAGACGCTGAATAATCAAAAATTTGATCAAATAACCTCTGTTCAACTCTTGTAAGTAGAATAAAAGCTTCTCGACATACCTTATTCAACACCAAATATTTCGATGTTGTGGTTGAATAAATTCTCCACATTTGTATGAACAAAGCCTGAACAGAAGTTATTATTAAAAATAGTACAAGTATTATTAAGCATGCAGTTGAATAAAATCGTCAAAAAGTCGTTTCTTCAATAGGCAATTGTTTGTTGGGTTGCAAATAGGGTGGTGCTAACTATAATTAACTTTTCATTTCCTACTAAAAACTGACAGATTACAAAATTTTACGCAACTTTTCTGACGAGACTAAAATAATTAAGCTTATGATTATTTTTCTTTTGTAGTATTTATGATTTAAGATAGGGTGTCCCTAAAAAATTGATTTATATAATAACTTCTTTATTTAAAATTTTACGTGAAAGTTGTCTTCTATAATTTTTCTTCTGCTCATTGAATTGCACTTTGTTGTTGAAGGAAGTGTCTCGTTTAATATTTTAATCAAACCTGAAATTATCCATCTATGATGAGATTGGACCCTTCAGTCCAAATAAAATCGCAACAAAATTGCTAGATTCCACATTTAGGGAAGAGAATTAAGATAATTTTTGAATAATATGTGGGTCTGTGCTCTATTTTTTTGTATTAATGGCAGATTTTGGACAGGGAGCACTTGGGACCTACTCGGTTCTAATGATCATTATTTGAATTTAGATGTGATTTTAATTTACTTCAGATTCTGATTTCTTTCCCGGTGCAACCAGAAGCTTGTGTGGAGCTTGGATAACCTGGAAAGCCTGGAATTAGCATGAAATTTTAAAAGACCTAGAAAATCCTAGATTTATCAGGGCATTGTTGTAGCAATCAGGGAATTTTTGTAAAGTTCCAGACTTTATTAAGATTCAAACTCAAGAGTACTTTGAAGAGCAACAAGTATCTTATTGATAACATTTCATGATTAAATTTATTGATTCAGTGCCAACATTTCAAAGGGGCATAATTGCATTTGTAAACAATGGCTTTAGCCGTCGCTTTCTTGCGAATAAAAGCCTACTCATGAAAAATAATGACACCAACAGGTAAAGGCATGTTTCCTCTACCAGCTAGCATTGTTATTTTGGAGAGGTGAGATTTCATTTACGAGAAATTGACGGCTAAAGCCATTGTTTACAAAAGCAACTACGCCCCTTTGAAATGTTGGCCCTGCACTATTTAGACTTTTGAGTGGCTTGACATAGCTCTGAGAAGAAAATTCTTCAAAAACTATCGTCAAGCTTATTGTGCATGCACACTACCACCGTCTATCATACATATTTCCAAGCATTAATTTACAACCGTTGCATCCCTCGTTCATGCATTTTTTTTTTAAACTATTTGCTTTTCCCTCGTCTTGTCAACATGTCAGCTGTGTTGAATAAAAACAAATGAGATGCAAGTTAAACACTAACTCGGAAGTATCCATTAAATGAAAAATATCTTGTATCTTGTACTCATTTTTTGAAGCTATTCAAATCTGTCCAAAAATGGGTATTTTCAAAAACGAAAAGCGTGCACTTTTTCCCCATTTGAGTAAATTTCTTCTTTAAAAAAGAATGGGTACACACATGCTTTCAATTCGCCTTGACACCAGTCCCGAAGTGACGTTTCTTCACACACATTTTGACAGTTCCTTATGGGGTTTTAGCGTTGGAGTGAGAGAATAAGAAAAAGTTTGCCATGTTTCACACATAGACTGACAGTTACATACGAGATTTCTCCATAGGAGTAAAGAGTTACAGAGCTCTCGTCAGCGCCAATCAACGTCAACACATCTCTGACGAAGTGAAGACCCAAAGCGTTTAACTTTTTGTTTTTAATAAGTGAGCGTTGTGATCATTCGCGAAGCGAATATTGTCTGTTTCATTCGAGA